GCTGAAAGCAGGCTTCTGGCCTTGTTTACCCTACTGTATTTGAAACAATGCTGCGGTCCTGCTGGCTGAAGCCTGGGGTTTTGTTTAGCTTCTATTTTTGTAACATATTTGCTTAGAGTGCAGCTGAGAGGCCTACAGGGCAGGCGGGGAAGCTTGGCTTCCTCCATCACTAAAGCAAGCAAGCCTCATGTTAGCTTTCAGTTGCCTGGCTGCCGGCCGCCATCTTGACTCTGTTAATTTGCATATTGCCCTGATTAGCCAATGGGAAGGGTAGCGGTCGTACACCAATTACCATGTTTCTCTTTTATTAGATAGGATACTGTCTAGAGCTATATACATAAAGATTCAATTTCTATTCCTAAGGGCTCATGCAACAGGGTGAGGATCTAAGAGAGGGAGGGAACAGAGACAGAAATTGATAGTGATAATACAGAAACCCTTCCCCCACCTTTTAAAAAGTAAAAGTTTTTCCCCCCATGAGAAAAGTAAAGGTATCATCCATTTACTTATTTAATCAGAAAACATTTGCTGAATGCCTGCTTCTTATCAGGCCTCCTACCAGGAGCTGTGTCTACACTTAAGGAGCAGCCTGAGGTAATGCCAGGAAGATCAGAGAAGCACATTGCCCTTTCACCTTGTCCTCTGGGCAGCAATCCTAATCCTTTTGGGTTCACAAGAGAACATGCACTGGAAAGGGAACTTCAAAAGGAAGCAGATCTGCAGTGTAAACATCACTTTCAACTGGACCAATCATTTGTCTCCCTTTGTCACTCAAGACAGTAAAGCGGTAACTCACTGATATCCAGACATCTGTGCACATATATACCTGCTTTTTTGTTTATCAAGCACTCCCCCTACCCATACTTTAGTTTGATGAATCATATAAAAAAAGGGGTAAACTATTTGGGTAAATGTAAATATTCTAAGTAGTAAGGAACTGCTTAAAATCATTGTATGGAAAATGAGATGAAGTAGTTTTTAAAAGGTAGATTTTATGATAATAACTAATCTTTTATTGTATTTATGACTTGCCAGGCACTGTTTTAAGTGCTTTGCAGAAATGAACTCATTTGATCCTCAAAAAAAACCCACAAAAATCCCCCCAAAAACAATGGATTGGGTACTGTTATAATCTCTTAAAAATTTGAGAACCAGGGCATGGAGAAGTGAGTCTCTTGCCTAAAGTCACCCAGCTAGGATTTAAACCCAGGAAGTCTGTCTACAGATTCTGGAACTCAAGCTTTGCACTGTTTCCACAGGTACAGCTACATGAATATATATACTTAAAAAAACGATCAGGAGGATGCACACTAAACAAAACCATGGTTGTCGTTAGGCAGCATTAATTCAACAATACATTAGCAGCAATATTTTAGGGTTTTTCCCCCCAAAGGGAGTGATTTTTGTTACTTCTGTTTTTATAATTTAAAAAATATTTTAAAGATCAATTTTGGGGTCAATTTAAGTGTTTTGAATAAAACTACTACCTTATGCTCTTCTAACTTTTACACTGACCTTGGCATCATTAAGAGCAGGACTGTGTTCATCTTTCCTCTCGGGCAGGCTCATGACCTCTGATGAAATCTTATTTCAGAGAGTAGATGAAAAGTTATCTCAGATTTTTATCTGAAACAATGGGAGGCATATTAAAAATATTATACTTCATGGCTGAAATGCTTGTCAGTTTAGAAACTGAAGCCCAGGTGGCCATATGAGATGAAATATTAAGTACTGAATAAAGAGAGATCTGTCATTTAATTATGAAAATGAACTAAAACTTTAAAAATCTCACATGTACCAACAATTACAAAATAGTACTGTATTAGGGTTCACCAGAGACACAGACCAATAGATCGATAGATAATGAGAAAATACTTTAAGGAATTGCTCACACAATTGTGGGGGCTGACAAGTCTGACATTTGTAGGACAATCCAGCTGGAAATCAGGTAAGCGCTGATGTGCAGCCTTGAGTCCAAAATCTACAGGGCGGTCCGCAGGCTGAAAACTCAGGCAGTTCTCTGTTGCAGTCTTGAGGCAGAATTGTTTTTTTGGGAAACCACACTCTTTGCTCCTATTGTCTTTAACTGATTGGATGAGATCCACCCAGATTATGAAGGATAGTTTTACTGATTGTAAATGTTAATTACATATATCTAGACTAGTGTTTAACCAAACAACTGGGCATCATGGAGTAGCCAAGTTGACATGTAGTTAACCATAAGTAAATTCCAATTTGAACTAAGTTCTGACTGCTCAAGAATATGTTAGATATGTAAGATTTTTACATTTAGGATGATTGAAATTTTAATTTGCTTTAAGAGACCCAGTCATGTGAGGAAAATCTTTGAATAGTACATTTGCAATATATTTAGCTATTCTAATCATTAGCTGGGGTTTTTGTTTGTTTTGTAAGAGAACATTTATTTGGTAATCACAGAGGTATAAGTAATTCCTAGAAGAAATGGACTTAGGAAACAAGTTATAGAGGTAAAGGAAGGGCCCTTGGAGCTTGGGAGTGAGGAAGCCAATGTTAACAAGCCTAGGGCAGGGAGGGGAAAGGGAGAGGAAAAGGCACAGGCCTGGGTGTACTCCCACTGCCAGGAGAGCGAGCACCCTAGTCATTAGTTTTGCTTAATACAAGTTGGGTTATGAGATGATTCTGAATTATTTTATGGCAGTTGAAATAAGGTTAACTAAAACAATGTGGACAAATCTTTGAAGCTAAATGGTACTGAATTCTTTGTTGCAATGTAGCATTTTCAATTTTGCTCCTAGAGTTAACATATGCACGATATGTTTACTGTTCTGAAATGAAGGTGCTCAGTAATGAGGTGTTCTCAATTTAATATAGTCACATCATTCCATCTTTGAAATCTCATCCAGCGATTAAATTATGCAAATGATTTCAGGATAACCTCCATTTCATGGGAGTCCAGATTCTAAATAAGTTGAGTTGGGCATGTAAGAATATTAATAAATGTGATCTATGACTCCTGACATTATAGCTGAACTTTAATAATGTATTAATGCTATCCCTAAATAAATCAATACTTTGTTCCTGATTGACTGTGGGAAACATTTTTCAGATTTAGGACTATCAATTTAACAAAAGGTTATTCCAATTGTTACTTTAAATTAGAAAATTATATGCCACCTGAAAAGATACTTAAATGTCTTTCTACCTGCCAAGTAGATGAAGGGAATATGTAATATATGTCATGGAGTTGATGGCCTTTATCTTGTTCTCACCTGTGACGCAGATACTGTTAGTCCCTTTTAACAAATGAGGAAAATGAGGCTCAGAAACTTGCTTGAGGTCACCAAAAAACAGCACACCTGCTTCAAGGCTTAAACACTTTCCACTATAGACACAGCTAAAACACAGAAGGAATTAACAGTTTGGTCTTAGATTTCTCACATAAAAGGCTATGTATTCCTCTTATCCTGCTTTTCTCTTTTAGCACAGTTGTGAGGGCATAGGTATTCCCCGACAAGTAAGGCATTTCTTCCCAGGCAAATGTAGTAGGCTGGACTGTCTTCATTATACTTTGATTACATTGCAGTGTCTTTGGCAAGATCAAACTTAAACCTGCTTCTCACTTCAATTTGTCTTTTTCTAAATAATCATTGAAATAGACCAGGAGCTGCGGTGTGCCTCTGATGCAGTGGTGGGGGCAGAGGGTGGAGAGTGGGAGGACATTGTGGAGGAGAGCAAAGGACTCCCTGGGTGGGATTTCAAAGGCACTGATGAGTGCTTTTAGTTATGAGGAAAATAACTGGGAGTCCTTTCCTTTTCTCCGTTTTTCTTTTCATTACCCCAGAGAGCCTGTAAGCTGTAGTTGCTGCAAAACAATTTCGACTAGCTAGTCACTCAGGTCTGGGTTGCACTGCAGCCAGATGTCAGGTAGACAAATCTGTGCTTTGCAGTCATACAGCATTGCTAGATATTTATAAGATGGCACAGTTCTACCCTTGAATTATATTCATAAACTGATAGGATACTAGAGATCATTTAGTCCACTGGTTTTCCAACTTTATTCTTTAAAAAACATATTTTTATTGATTTCAGAGGGAGAGGGAGAAAGACCAACGATGAGAGAGAATCACTGATTGGCTGCCTCCTGCACGCTCCACACTGGGAATTGAGCCCACAACCCAGGCATGTGCCCTTGACTGGATTTGAACTAGGGACCCTTCGGTCCACAGGCCAATGGTCTATCTATCCACCAAGCCAAACTGGCGAGGGCTCTTTTTTTTATAGCACAAAAACTGTTCAAATTCCTTGATATGGTTTAATTTAAAAAGACATGAGTTCTTTCACAGCATAAAATGTGGGCTAAAATTTTAGGTTGCTGAAAAATTCTTTACACAAGGAACAATTATCCTCCTATATAATAAAAGGCTAATATGCAAATTGTTCCCTTGACCGGGAGCCCAACCGCTTGCTGTAATGTGTGCTGACCACCAGGGTGCGGCACAAAACGTGCCAGGTGTTGGCGAAACACTGCTGGCAGCAAAGGCACTGCCGGCCCCAATGGGCCCCAACAAGAGCAGGGCTGTGGCGGCAGGATGGTGGAGCAGGTGAGTTGGCAGCACCAGGCCAAGGCGGGTGCAAGTGGGGGTCCGATCACCCTGCCAATTGCCCCGCAGACAGCGACCAGCAGCGGGGAGCAGGGCTGCTGTCTGGTTCCCAGGTGCTGAGGGAGCTGGGTGGGGGTTCTGATCCAGATAGATCGCCCTGCAGGCAGGATGGCGGAGCAGGTGAGGGGGTGGCACCAGGCCAAGGCAGGGTGCCAGGTGGAGCTGCAGGGCTGTAAGGCTGGTGGCACGGGCTGGGGCTCAATCCCCACAGGCCATCCCAAGGGATGCCACCTGTGCAGGAATTCATGCACCGGGCCTCTAGTTCAATATAAAATGTTAATTATATATATTTTTAAAACCTTGAAATTCTTATTTGCAAATCCAACAAAAACGAGCTGTGCTGCTCCTAGGCTCTCTTCTCAGTCCTTAATGTTTGGAGCTGCCATTTAAAAACTATCAACATTAGCCTACCCTCTCATTTTAGTTATTTAACAAACATTTTGTGCAAATACTAGGTATCTAGCACTATATGAAGCTTAGGAAAAACATTGGGCCTAAAATATGAGTATGCTCTGGTCCATGGCTTATTGAGGAGACAGATGATTACAAAACAACATAGTAAAATTTAACAATAGGACCTGTGATGTTATGGGGCCTGGTATCACTGAGTCTCTGAAACTGAGCAAAAGAGCTTAAAGGGCAGTTCACTTGGAAAGAGTATAATCCAGACTAAAGAATGGACTTTACCCAGGGTAAGTAGCTAGGGGTACATTCTGGAAGGTACAAGTTGTTTTATGCAGCAGATAATACAGCGAGAAGTGAGAAAAGGGCCTATACCATATCTTGATTCTTCAGGAAATAGGGAGTCCTGGAAGGCCTGTAAATAGGGAAACAAGGTAAAATGTATGCTTTAAATTGCCAACAGGGACTATGAATTTGATGAGAACAAGAAGGGAGGTAGGAAGGCCTACCTGTAGCTCTTTGACAGAATATCAAGAGCAGGAGCATATTGGGGAAAACATTATGCATTCGTTTCAGGTAGAGATGCCCAGCATGATTGGATGGATAGCTCAAGTCTGAATCCTTGGCGAATAGAGTATGATCCTGTATACATAAAAAGGGATGGAGAGAGATGTAGGAAAAGGTTAACTTTGCTTAACTCTTGATTTTGGGTAAATTCTTATTTTCATAATCCTTCTCTGTACACTGAGCATACTTTATAACTAGGCTAAAGCAGTTATTTTAGTTTTTAAACTTTGCTTTACCTCAGTTTTCTTTAAGCTAAATTGACACCATGCCCTATATGGAATTTCCTGCATTTTCATTCAAAATTTTATTTGGGAACAATACTATGTACTAGTAGCCATTAAAATCATGCTTTCAAAAGAAATATGCAATTATTTATCAGTCTTCTTACATTGAACTTCATGATTTTGTATAATTGGGTCCTATGCAGACACAGCAAGATAGAAAAATCTCTTGGGATTAAACCAGTATTCATGGCACTTCAAGTACTCTCTTGAATGGAGTAATCACAGGCAACCCAATTTGCTCCGTCACGGGTGATGGTAGAACAAATGCAAAGCGCAGGGTCTCACTGTCTGACACAGGAGTGTGGTGAGGAGACACAGGCTTTTCTGACGCTGCCTGAGGATGAATCTTCTCTGAAAACAGTAAAGAAAAGGTTGGTGGTCTTTAATTGAACTCTCTTGCCACAACAAATATATCATAATCTGTGTGATTAATATCACCTACCAAATTGATACCTGATCTTTATGAAACATACACAAAAGCTATCGATGAGCATTTGCTTTTAATTCACTAGACAAAAAAGACCCATCACTGTAATATTGACTTATTTCCACTATGCTCAAAGCAACTTAACAGCATCTTAGAGCCCTAATCGGTTTGGCTCAGTGGATAGAGCATCGGCCTGCGGACTGAAGGGTCCCAGGTTCGATTCCGGTCAAGGGCATGTACCTTGGTTGCAGGCACATACCCAGTGGGGAGTGTGCAGGAGGCAGCTGATCGATGTTTCTCTGCCATTGATGTTTCTAACTCTCTATCCCTCTCCCTAACTCTCTGTAAAAAAAAAAAAAAAAAAATCAATAAAATAAATAACATCTAGAATTACTATGAGGAAAACATAACCTTAACCCCACATAAGTTTTTAAAAATTTGCCTGTATCTGAATGGGTTTATTTCCATGTAGAAGTAAACTACTAGTAGTTACTGACTAGTACACACAGTATAGATTTAACTTGGGAACCTATGCTGACTTGGAGATGCTATCAAAATATAAAAATCTGCCCTAACCGGTTTGGCTCAGTGGACAGAGCGTCGGCATGCAGACTGAAGGGTCCCAGGTTCCATTCCGGTCAAGGGCATGTACCTTGGTTGCAGGCATATCCCCAGTAGGAGGTGTGCAGGAGGCAGCTGATCGATGTTTCTCTCTCATCGATGTTTCTAGCTCTCTATCCCTCTCCCTTCCTCTCTGTAAAAAAATCAATAAAATATATTAAAAAATGATTAAAAAAATAAAAATCTGAGCAAAAATTAATTTTCAATCATATAGATTTTTATGTGAAACTGATTTTTAACTCAGGAAGTTTTGGGAGTGATACAAAGTGAAATACAGGGAATCAAATCCAAATTATCCAAGGAAAAAGTTCCATTTCTCTTTTAAGTGGATGTCAAAGATGTACAATATAATTTGAAAAATCAGTGTGGTATTTCCCAAACATGCCTATCATAAGAACTGCCCTCAGTACTTTAAAAGAGTCTGAGACCTGTTCTCTTTCGATTCTAGCCCAGTGGGTGTAGGTTTAGACTGGAATCCAAGGTTTTGTATTTTTAGCATCCCAAGTTGTTCTAATAATCAGGCAAGTTAGGGAAATAGTGGCTAAGGGGAAAACAACAGCAACAACACCATCACAGCTCCCGTCCCCTTACTCAACACCTGCCCAACACACTGCCTGAAAATTAGAAACATTCAACTGAAAATGAAGAATTGTCTGTAGAACACAGTTTATTTTGAGTCCAAAACACAAAATTACTCATTTTTCTTAACATACTATATAATTTTCACTGCATGAATATTTATGGTTTCTGTATTCACAAGTGTATATTTCTGAACTCAGGCTCAAATGATTCATATATATATGAATATGTGTATTCATATATATATTCATATAATATATATATTAATACAGAAGACAAATACTTTAACAAATTTGTTTAGAAAATATTTTACATAAAAACACACAAAGTATTTACTAGCATTCTTCATCTTTACAACCAGTCTTCAGCTAAGATTTGGCTGAAGTCCATTTTCTACAAAACATTCCAAGACTGAATATGATAGAATGTAGTACAGTAAGTCCTCACTTAACATTGTTGCTATGTTCTGCAACTTTAAATGACATATAATGAAACCAGTTTTACCACAGGCTAATTGATATAAACAACACAAGTTTCTATAGCATCTCCTCAACCTTATA